GCTATGCAATAGTCATAGTAAGATTGAAAAGTCTTCCAAATGCTTCCGCGACTTCGGAACCATAGTCAGAAGCATAGCACATCCTAGAGCAGTTGCTAGTGGTAAACGCTTCAACCTCGATTGTAAAATTTTGTAAAATTAGAAATCATTCTTAAATAGAGTTGCGCCCATTTTAATGGTGTTACTTCACATGGTGGCCTTGGAGCGTGCCATCCTCCTCACGCGCACGGCGAGTGAGAAGGATGGAACATTCCAAAGCTCAGCCGTTAGCAGCGAATAAGTTTTTATTGATTTTTAAACAGAATTTATTACGCATATCGAACACGTAATTACTGTGGGAGGGGGGGTGAGACTTCTCGAAAAGGGCCGAATGCGACGGTTGTCCTTGAGTATAGGGGTTTAATATTGCCCCAGTTCGGACAGAACTCAATTCAGATGAAACTGATCTAAGGAAGAAGTACCGCAATTTCCTCTACATAACCACTATCACAATTACAAGAAAAATGACCTTATTCTTTCAGCAATCAGTATGTTATGTGAGCATCAAGTGATGAGGGATGCCACGCAACCGCACACGGCAGCTCACGTCTTTCGTGACTGCATCGTGCACGTGCCACTGAGAACCAATAAGGAGAAACACAAAAATTTCCAACACACAATCGGTCAGCGCTCATCGTAGCGTATGCTTCTGCGAACATTATACTTATTTTCAACTGCGTGCCAAGGACCCCAGGGTAGTTGGGACGATCAGCAGGTGGACAATTAAAAATTCAGCGGATATTGTGCTCAGGGTAGCTCCATCTAGCATACTCTCAGTTATAACTTATTAACTTTATTATGTGTAGATGAATCCTCGCTACAACAGCTGCTACATACATTTCTTAAATTTTGATAAACCCGTTGTCTAGCTAAAGGAGATCCCTTGAAGGCGGTACTGTTACAAGTCTGAGCAGTTTCAGTAGATCATGTACACTAATCAGCTGTTTATTCTCAATGAAGTAAAGTCCTTGTCCAGGTACAGACGTATATCCATTGATCCCGATTTCACCTAGCATGGTTGCTTATATTCGACGTTCTTCATCCCAATTGTACAGATTGTTCTTTGAAATTGCATTTTTTCAAAGTGTACGAAAATACAAGGGATCCGAGCAAATGGACTGGTTAGATAGCATACAAAGCTGGTACAAACAGAATTATTTCACAAACTGACAGGCGGGTATCTGGACTAAACCTTTCTAGTGCACTATTCACCAGCCCTTTGTCTTCCAACGAACAGATTTCGGTTTGTCTTACCTTGCGGTTTTGTATGGCTTTAGCTGTTGAAGATTCTGTAAATTGTATATTATCTCGAACTTTGAACGTACATTAGAAAATCAACACTCAACAAAACACTACTTGAAACCTCAACAATTTTCAATCATGTTAAAGACAGGACAAACATCTGTTCTACTGGGTGAGCCACTCAACAATTTTTATTGTAGAAATTCTTTCACTTCACAAAGATGAGGTTCTTGAAGGCGGAGCTTACGATTAAAGGCATCCCATTAAAAACAAGACAGAGGTGGTCAGCGGTACGGGCGCGGAAGAGATGAAGAAAAAATGGAGTGCTAACTTAGTGGGGTGGGGCGGCAGCCGGCCAGTCTCTGGCATGTTCCCGAGGGGAATCCGTGAGCCAGAGGGAGTGTAGGGTCCAGGGGGCGGCGTATCCAATCCTTCCCCAGCGGGGATAAGATCCCCTCCTCTGATCAATTCTTGGGCGCGGACAAAAGGTTGCGTTTTAGGACCAATAAAAGGATAAAGGATAAAGCATTTGCCGTTGATCAATCCCTTTTTGGGATGCGGCACGCATTCTACTTCCATTTGTACATTCGCAGTGGCATTTGAATGCGATGTGGCCTATACAATGACTTGGCGGGGGCCAGCCGATGTTCAAGTCAGTGTTTTTTTTTATCTCCCAGACAAGTCTGGTACCAATTAACCGACCCCGGAGGGATGGAAGGCTTGGTTGGCCCGGGCGACTCACGACCCAGGATTTGATCCCGGACCGCTCGCGTGGTGAGCGCGCCACTTGTCACTACACCACTTCCGCCCGGACCAAGCCATACCTCGTGTTTCTACCTGCCAGACAGTTAGAGCAGCGCTACTACCCTCCACTGATGAAGCACTCTTTTCCCTGAGGGGTCGCGCTGCTCTAACTGTCTGGCAGGTAGAAACACAGAGGTATGCTAGGTCCTATGACGCAACCCTTTTTTGTCCCCCCAGAGGATTGAATCAGAGTAGGGGGATATATCCCCCTGGGGGAAGGATTGAATACCGCCCCAGGGGGGGGGTGGGGGCAGTCACTTGACATGCGTGAAAAGCTGGAATGTTCGAGTTTACACTGTCTCGCTCGAGAGAGCCCAGGTGAGCAGACTGCCGCGCCGCCGCGTGGCCCCCCCCCCCCAACTAAGTTAGCACCGAAAAAACATAAAAACAGCTCAGAACCAAGAAATGGGACCCCTTTTTTGCCCGTTGATTTCCGCATTGATGCGACTCTCATCGGTGCTGCCCTCTTCAACGCTAACGCTCTCTCTGCTAATGGCTAGAGTCAGACGGCGAAGGGTACCTGTCGGTGAGACTGCAGAAGCGCGAGTGGCGCGGATATGGCCCTGATAGGTCGTCATGGGTATACTCTTCGCTGCAAAACGCGCATCGTCTGGCATGGTACGCCACCTGCCTTTCCACCAGGTCTATTTCATCTTCTTCGATCTCCGACCTTATCGTGGAATGCTCCTTTGGAGATTTATGGAGACATGGTCTAGGCCACAATACTTCCCTCCATTCTTGCACACTGCTATTGTACGTTGGCACTTAAACGGTTTTAGATCATTTAAGAAGCTTATTCTGTGAGCAGTGCCCATGCAGCAGCAGAAAATCCGAGATCGTTTTATTTACACCTTGTCAGAGTAGAAACAGCTTTCACACTTATTCTCAAGCCATCTTCCATATTCGCACCACGTGTTTTTCCCCGATGCTGCGCGACCCTCTATCCTATCATGTTCAGGGGTTTCTGTCCTTCACTAGTGCCTCCTATTATACCAGTCCACTTTGAGTTTCTCCAAACAGAAGAATTGTGGTTGAGCCGCAAATGACCGGCCTGCTGGTAGCAAACTCAAGGGCGGTGGGTGGTTGAGAGGCAGTGCGGTTTCGCTGACGTCACTAGGCGTCCATTGGTAGAATAGCATCGCGAGAAAGTTCTCATGACACCCTCAGCACGCAGACGGTCTAGTCCTCTAGCGGCACCAAACGTCATCAAAACCGCTTCGATTCTCTATGTCGCATCCACGACCTTTCATTTAACCTACTATACGAATAACACAACATATTGTTATCTCATTCTGAAGCTTAAGGAGAAAAGCACGAATGATCGATCTGATAGACCGACAAATGGGATAAATTTTACATTAATTTTTGGTAAAAATTCTATATTAGGTGCCGCCTTGTTTTGTAACTTTCTAAACACATTCATCACAGCAAACAATTGCATTAGTATTTGGGCTTCAATGAAAAAAGTGTGTGCTGCGAAAGATATTGTGAGAACACAGAAACTAGGTTGATCATCGCTGCCTTAATGAGGAAAACATGATGATACTGTTTTCTCTAATCACCTAGCTAGCCATAATAAGTTTGATTAGCGTATGGCACTCCGCACTGGATCTCGTCATCCGCTCTTCAACCTTATTATTGGTAGCTAGCTGTAGAACTGTTTATAAAAACATGCCTACCTGGTTTTTTGCAGAATGATGTTGAACTGGAATCTTTCCACCTGTCAACAGCGTCCTGCAAACGTCATTTACAGAAGGATTCACGGCTGTTCACATACTGAGGTCAACTAGGACATGCATTCCTGGCATTCTGGACACTTCATAACCATTACCTCTTCGGTGCCGCTTTCGACCTTGTATAGTTCGTGAACTGAGTGTGCGGAGTAGATACTGAAAATTCACCTGTATTACAGAACTACATCATCTTTACTCTTATGAGCTCTGGTTGACGGAGTGCAGTGATCCTCGCCTTGTATTTCTGCTCTCTCTCTTCCTCTTAATCTTTGGGAACGTGGGTGAAAGTAGCAGCTTTTATTACTTGCAATCTACTTTTACAAGATTTGTATGGCCGATGTCAGACTTTGCGAATCGCGCGATTCGCAAAGTCTGACATCGGCCTATGGTAAAATCACGCCCAGTAAAGTGGTGACATTAG